GGGATGGGGAATACATGTAAATCCATGGCTAATTCATTTCAATGTATGACAAAAACTACTGTAATGATGTAAAGTAATTAGCCTCCAACTAATAAAAATAAATGGAAAAAAAAATAGAATACATACCACTTTCACATTCTGAAAGAGCCACCTGCAAGTACAGAAGAGAAGACACTATGAGGATAAGATCACATAAATGCACAGTCTTTGGTTCATGTGGTGACAGTTCCTGATGAGGAACAGTGGTGAAGTCCATGAAACCCATCACTATCAGAACAAACATACTCAGGATGAAAGGCAAGACCTTTGCCTGGAGGATGGAACTTCCAAGTTCATTTGGATTGGGCATTGCAGAATTCTTTTCTTAGAGGAAACCTTGCTGCAGGAGAGAGAACTCTGTACTCTACAGGGTGTAATGGATGCTAACAATTTTAATATCCTGTGGAATGAGGCATCATGATTTGGTAATAAGTATCTCACTTCACATTATCCCAACCAAGGAAATCGCCTCTGTCTGAAACGAACACCTTCAAAGATGCATAACTTAAATGTACTTAAAAAGAAAGGAAACAATATTTCTATCTCAGACCAGAAAAAAGAAAAAAACCTTTCCTTGGAGGCACATGGAGTCTCTTCTGTCTTGTCACAAGCTGGGTTGACTGGCAGGTCCTCAGTGAAACCTAGAGGGACACAAAGTAGCTGTTAGAACAGTGGTGAGGCTGCTCAGGAATCATTCAGGGTTTTTCTCTTTGTGTGGACATGGGGTGGTGTGTCCGGATGTGGGAGGTTAATAAGCATGGACTGAACTTGTGTTCATCCATCCTCTTTGGAGGAGGAAGGAAAGTAAAGGAGAGGTGGAAGGAAATGAAGGCAGATCTTTGGCGTTCTAGCTAGAGGAACCTAATCAACAGGAAATATTCAATCTAAACAGTGGAAAACTCTAAAATGTAAGTACTGTTCAATGAAAGAGACCCTTGACTCCTCCTGCTCATTTTGAGCTCCTGCTAAATTGCCACTGTCTCTTGATTTTTCCCAGATCACTCTTCCTCTGAGATACACAGTTACTGCTACTCTGTTCTTCATGATTTCTATAAGACTTTGTAATTGATTTTAAGTAAACTCTGTTACAGGACTGAATCCAATCCTGGCAAAGCATACTATGCTATTAATTCACTAATTAACTGTCTTAAAGAAAAGCAAATACACAAGATTTTGTATTACTGAATTCCTAGCACTTAAAAATAGCCATTATGAATAATATGGAATTTTTCTATCAATATCCATTTTCTATAAAGTGTGTGAATTTCCACTGATCCAGTAGCTGCCCATACACACAGGGGAAATATGGTGAGTGGGACAGTTGATTATAGAAAGCACAGTTCCTCCAGCATGTATTCCTGGGGAGCTAGAGGGACAGAGTAGATGTTAGGACACTGGTGAGGACACCAATCACTCAGCTTTTACTCTTTTTTGATACGGACAAGGGGTGGAGAGTATGTGTGAGGGAGCTAAATAAATATGGAATAAGCTGCCGTTGAATCATCCACTTTGCTGGATGAAGGAGTGCAAAGGAGAGAAGCAAGAAATAATGAAAGAGAACCTCTGCATTTTGGGAAAAAAAGAAATAATAAAATGCATGCCACCTTTCAATGACAGAGACTCATAAATCTCCTGCCTGTTTAGCTCTTCTGCCAAACAACCCCTATCCAGAAGGATTTCTTCCTAGATCACTGCCTCCCCAGGATACAGTTACAGCTATTGCACTTACTGAGTTTTCTCAGAGGTTTTGTTCTTGATTCAAAGAAGTCTCTGTTAGAGGACTGAATTGAATTCTAGCTTGCCAAATAGCTATTAAGCTAGTATAATTCAGGTAATGTTTCTTGCCAGTCTTCATTTTCCAAACAATATTTTCACGGACATGAATGAGTGTCTGTTGACACTCGGGGAAGTCATACACTGAGTGGGACAGTACACTATGGAGAGAAACCATGGGGTAAATGTTGAATTTATTGGACTCAGGTACGCAGGAGGTTGACAAGAGTCAAAGTCACCAAGCACACTGTCAAGTTCCACCATGAGATCTATTTGACACCTTCCCTTGAGAGTGTGCTGCAGCGTTGAACCAATGTAAGGCTTATGGTATTGTCACCCAGTACAGTGAAATATCTCCCTGATGGTAATCTGTGTTTCTCCTTGGTTAAGCAATACACTAGCACCAACAGATTTAGCCTGTCCTGTCTAAACCAAGGCATACAACTCTCAGATCTGTGAACTGACCAGGAGGATGTCAGTCCCTAGGTGCCTTTGACAATAATGACTGTGCCAAAGTTGGTGATAATCTGCTTCCATTTGCCCTGGGTTCCTTGACCACTATGACCACCTTACAATGATGGACAAGGTCTGGACCTCTGGAGGTCTAGTACCTCCAGGCAAAAACACAGATTCAGGGACCCCTTGCTCCATGACTAGGATTTCAACGCTGAGTGATAAGTGAAGGGCAGGGGTCCAGAGCAGTCACACTGGGAACACCCCAAGGTTCTAAGTTTGGTTTTTCAACATAGGAAGGTCAAGAGCTTGGGCCATTGTCCTCAGCACCTGCTTCACTTGAGGAAAATGAATATTAACCAAACATGGGGAATGGCCGAGCAGAGGAAAGAATCAGGTATTGTATAGTCAGTGTGAAGTGGTGATGAGAAGTGTTTAGATAAAGTTCACAAGTGACTTGTGCTGTGTGAGAGGGAAACATCTCCTGAGGAAACACACACAGACACAGAGCTTCAGAATCATACCACTGGGCCCACACATGGGCCCCCAAGCCCGATTCACACAAACCCACAGCATCTAAATGATGTAGTTGCTTCCCGGTACCATAGAACCAAGACAATGTTCTTTCCCGGGAAAGAACAGTCTCTCCTATGCACCTCCACCCAGACCCCAAGTAGGGATCCAGCATCAGGGCCACTCTCCAACCAGAGCCAGTCAGAGAACCCCAGCTTTATCAGATGGATTGTACCTCAGCAGAGTGTTGATCCCTGAACATTTACGTGTTCATTGGCTTCCCTGAATTCCTGTGATTGGAGAGAAGGAAACAGAGTGAGGTGTCAGCATCTTGAACCTCCTGCACTAAGTTTTCTGTCATGTGGTTTGTCTCCTCAGATAACTAAAACTCTTTATTCTAGTGACTCCAAAGTACAACAGAGAGTGTGCTGTCAGAAAGTCTGATTCACATAAGATCTCTCAATTTCAATGTGTCCAACAGTAACACATTGCTTTTCAAGAAAGAGAAATTTCTGCTGAGCAAAGTACCTACAGTAGTAAATGATACTCTTTTTTAAATGTCATTTGGAAATAGGTCTGTGCTGATAACAGATATATCCTCACTCTTTTCCCAGCCAAGGAATTACATGCCTCAGGGGGAATGGAAATTGTCAGATGATTACAACTGTATTTGTCTAAATAGCAAATAAAGTGAAGCAACAATCTTGTCCCAGATAAAGAAAGGTGCACTTACGTTCACATTACTCAGAGCCTTTACGTCAGTCAGGTCCGGGAAGACTTCCACGACCAGATTCTCCTGGGGAGCTAGAAGGACAAGGAAGAGACATTGGGACACTTGTGAAGCTGCTCACTAATCACTCAGGAACCTTTTTTGGGAGGTGAGGTCATGGGGTGGAATGTATGCTTAAGGCATCAGTAACTTGGGACTGAGTTGCTGTTGAATCATCCTCTTTGTTGCATAAATAAGAGCAAATCGGAAGAGCAGGAAATAATGAAAGAGAACCTCTTCATTTAAACTAGTGATAACCTAACAGATCGGGAAAAAAAGAAACACTAAAACGCATGCCACCTTTCAATGACAGAGACTCATGAGCCTCCTGCCAGTTTACATCTTCTGCAAAACAACCCCTATCCAGAAGGATTTCTTCCTAGATCACTGCCTCCCTAGGATTCAGTTACAGCTATTGCCCTTACTGAGTTTTCTGAAAGTGTTTCTTCTTGATTAAATCAGTCTCTGTTAGAGGACTGAATTCAATTGTAACTTGCCAAATAGTTATTAAGCTAGTATCATTCAGGTAATGTTTCTTGCCAGTCTTTATTTCCAAACAACATTTGCACGTCCCTGAGTCAGTGGCCATCCACACTCACACAAGTCTTACATTTAGTGGGGCAGTTCATCATGGAGAGGACGCACGGGGTGAACCTGACTCTCTCTGACCCAGCTGTGCCGGAGATTTACAACAGGAGTCATCATGACTAGGCAAACTATCAAGTTCCACCATGAGACCTATTTGACACCTTCTTTTGAGTGTGTGCTAAAGGGTTTAATCAATGTAAGGCTTGTGGTAATGTCACCCAGTAGAATGAAATTACTCTTTGAAGATAATCTGCTTTTTTCCTTGTTTAAGCAATGACACTAGCACCAAGAGATATGACCTATACTGTCTACACGAGGCCAGAGAACACTCAGAATCTGAAATGACCAGGATAAAAGTCTTGAGGTGTGTTTCACACTAATGACTTTCCCAAATTAGGTGTTAATCTACCTATTCTTGCCCTGGGTTGCATGACCACTGAGCCCAGCTTATAATGATGGGCAGGATCTGGGCCTCTGGAGCCGTCAATACCTCCAGTCATAAACATAGATGCAGGGATGCCCTTGCTCCATGACAAGAATTTCAAAGCTGAGTGGTAAGTTCAGGTCAGGGGTCCAGAACAGTCACACCGGGACCACCCGAGGTTCTCAGTTTGGCTTTTCCATTTAGGAGGTCAAGAGTTTGGGCTATTTTTCTCAGCACCACCTCCATCTGAGGAAAATGAATATTAACCAAACTTGAGGAATGGCTGAGTTGAGGAAAGAATCAGGTAATGTACAGCCAGGGTGCAGTGCTGATGAGAAGTGCTTAGAAAGTTCACAGTTGTGTCTCCTGCACTGCAGACAGATTCCTTACCCACTTGGCCACCTGGGAAGCCCAAGGAATTTTGGAGCCTCTCAATTAAAATACATCTTGATCATACTCTAGTGAGTTAACAAGATTTTTTGATGCCCACAAAAAAAAAAAAGAAAGAAAGTTCACAGTTGACTTGTTGTGTGTGAGACGGAAATATCTCCTGAGAAAATACACACACAGAGTTTCACAATCACACCACATGGGTCCACACCTGGGCCACCAGGCCTGATTCACCCAAACCCACAGCATCCAAATGATGTAGCTGTTTCCAGGAACACAGAACACAGACATTGCTCTTTCCTTGAGACCAGTCTCTTCTCTGCACCCCCAGCCCTCACCCCTTGTAGGAATCCAGCATTAGGGCACCTCTGTACCCAGATCCAGCAATGAAGTCCCGCCTGCATAGCTAGATTGTTCCTCAGCAAAGGCATAATCCCTGAATCCTTACCATGTTCATGGGCTGATCCACATGCCTGTGATTAGAAAGAAGAAAACAGTGTGAGGGTGACAGCATCATGTGGTCTCTGCAGTAAGTCTTCTGTTATCTGATTTTTATCCTCCAATATCTAAAACTCTTTAAGTCAATGGCTCCAAAAGAAAACAGAGAGGACTCACGTTGAAAAGCCTGGACTGTTTCAAGAAAGAGCTCTCAGTTTCAATGTGAACAAGAATTACAAAACTATTTTTCAAGGAGGAAAATTTCTACCGAAAAAAATACCTACAGTAGTAACTGATGCTGTCTTTTTTTAATGCCCTTCTGAATAGCATCTGTTTTTATAAAACATTTTTCTCAATATTTCTCCAGACAAGGAACTGTATACATCAGTGATAATGTACATTGTCAAATTACTATAACTGTATTCCATTGAATAAAAATTAAAGAAGTGAAGAAGCAGGCTTCTCTGAGATAAAGACAGTTGAGGTTACCTTCTGGGTCCTCAGAGGCTCTTCCTCAGCCCAGGCCTGGTGCACTTCCACCACCAGGACCTCCTGGGAAGCTAGAGGGACAAAGAATAGCCATCAGGACTCAGGTGAGGCTGCGCACCAATCTCTCAGTGTTTTTTGTTTGTTTTTGTTTGATGGGGACATCGAGTGCAGTGTATGCCTGAGGAAGGCTAGGAACTATGGGCTGAGTTGCTGGTGAATCATCCTCTGCTGAAGGAGAGAGAGCAAAGGAGAGGAACAGGGAAGAAATGAAATGGAGCTTATGTCTTTTATCTAGTGATACTCTAACCCATGAGGAAAAAAGAAACACTAAAATGCATGCTAGTTTTCAATGACAGAGGCCTGTGATTCTCCTGCCTATTCAGAGCTTCTGCTAAATCATCCCTGTCTTCTGGGTTTCTTCCTAGATCACTGCCTCTCCAGGATTCAGGTTATAGCTATTGTACTTACTAAGTTCTCTATGAGATTTTGTTCTTGATTAAAAGCAAGCTCTGTTAGAGGACTGAATTCAGTTCTACCTTGCCAAATAGCTATTATCAATCCCCAGTCTTTTTCCCAGTCTTCATTTTCCCAAATCTTCATTTTCCAAAAACATATTTGCATGTCCACAGAGTTAGTGGCTGTTCACACTCACAGAAGTCATACATTTGGTGGGACAGTTTATTGTGAAGTGAAATCATGGGGGAACTTCTCAGACCCAGGTGTGCAGAGATTTACAGCCAGTGTCATGGTCACTAGGCTAACTACCAAGTTCCACTGTGAACCTATTTGACACCTTCCCTTGAGTATGTGCTGCCAGGTTTAATCAGTCTAAGTCTTATGGTACTGCCCCCAGAACAGTGAAATATCTCCCTGATGATAATCTGCTTTTGTCCCTGTTTAAGCAATGACAGCAGCACCAGCAGATATGAACTACAGTGTCTGCACAAAGCCACGCAACCCTCGGAATCCGAGTTGACCAGGAGGATGTGAGTCCCGAGGTGCCTTTCACACTAGCATCTGGGCCAAAGTTGGCGTTAATCCACCTCTGCTTGCCCTGGGTTCCACGACCACTAAGCCCACCTTCTAATGATGGGTGGGCATGGTCTGGAACTCCAAAGGTGCTGGTACGTCCAGGCATAAACATAGATGCAGGGACCCCCTTGCTCCATGACTAGGATTTCCAGACTGAGTGATAAGTGCAGGTCGGGAGTCCAGAGCCATCACACTGGGGCCACCCCTAGGTTCTCAGTTTGGCTTTCCCACCTACAAGGTCAAGAGCTTGGGCCTTTTTTCTCAGTACCACCTCCATTTGGGGAGAATGAATATTAACAATACTTGAGGAATGGCTGAGTTGAGGAAAGAATCAGGTAATGTATGATCAATGTGCAGTGGTGATGAGAAGTGTTTTTGAAAGCTCAGAGTTGACTTAGAACACATAAAACACAGGCATCCTGGGAGATCAGTCTCTTCTCCGCACCCCCAGCCCTCACCCCTGTAGGAATGCAGCATCAGGGGGCCTCTCAAAGCAGAGCCAGAGAGAGAGCCCCACCTTCATCAACTACATGGTTCCTCAGTAGAAGGAAGATCCCTGAATACTTACCATGTTCCTTGGCTGCTTCACATGCCTGTGATTAGAGAGAAGAAAAGAGTGTGAGGCTGTCAATATCTTGAGTACCATGCATTCAGGTCTTTTGTTCTCTTTTTTTCTCATAAAACCAAATGGGCAAGTGTTGTTGAGTCCATAGCCCCAAAAGAAAACATAGAGGACTTCTGTAGGAAAGGCTGAAGCGTTTCCTGAAAGATCTCTCAAGCCCATTTTGACCAGCAATTAAAAAATTTTATTTCAATAAAGAATATTTTCTGCTGAGGAAACTGCTCCTGACTACAGTTTTTAATTTATGTTGTCATTCTTGAAAACTGCCCTTTTGAGTTATTTATTTTCTGGGAAAGACTCAAGAGTCCTCCATTGAATTAAAAATTGTATATATCAGCTGTCTTGAATATTTTGAACCTTTATTTGAATTCAGCAAAAAAAATAGTCATGAAGCAACACTTTTATCTCAGATAATAAGGGGTACTTACCAAACAGGTGGGCAGAGTCTCTTCCTCCAACTTTGAATGGGATACCTCATGCACCTCGCCCTCAGGGAGCTCTACGAGGACATAGAGGAATTTTTAGGACATATGTGATGCTGATCGGGAAGACCTTGTTAATGTGGATACACGGGGGAAGTGTGTGGACGTGTGTGGTTAATAAGTGTGGGCTGAGATGTGTTGGACAACCTTCCTCATGGGTGTAGGAAAGCAAAGGAGATGAATGAACGGTTCAGAAATGAGTTAGAGACCCTTTAACTTTCTCGATAAGGTGAACCTGCTGGGGAAACTGCTTCTGACCACAGCTTGTAATTTACATTCTCATTTTTTAAAAATGCCCTTTTGAATTATTTATCTGCTGGGAAAGACTCAGCATTCATCCATCAAATTAAAAACTGTATATATCAGCTGTCTTGAAAATTTTGAATCTTTATTGAAATTCAGCTAAAAAATAAAGTCATGAAGCCACAGTTTTCAACTTGAAATTGTCAGTCTAACAAAGGGACACACTAGAAATCACACTATGCCTCAGTAGTCATGTACAGTTGAGAGACTTGGAACATAAAGAAGGCTGAGTGCCAAAGGATTGATGTTTTAGAACAGTGGTGCTGAAGAGACTCTTGAGAGTTCCTTGGACAGCAAGGAGATCAAGCCAGTCAATCCTAAAGGAAATCAACACTGAATATTCATTGGAAGGACTGATGCTGAAGCTTCAATACTTTGGTCACCTGATGTGAAGGGCAGACTCACTGTAAAAGCCCTGATGCTGGGAAAGATTGACAGCAGGAGGAAAGCACTGGGGGGCCCAGAGGATGAGATATCTGGATAGCATCATCGACTCAGTGGACATGAATTTGAGCAAACTCTGGGAGATAGTGAAGGACAGGGAAGCCTGGTATGCTGCTGTCCATGGGCTCACGAACAGTCAGACACAGCTTAGCAGGTGAGCATTGTGATCAAAGATACACTGTATTTATTCTTTTCATAATTTTGAAGAATTCAAAAGTTCCATATAATTTTCTATATTCATAATGCTGTGTATCTATCAACACCATCTACATATAAATCTTTTTCATCAGACACAATATAACCTCTGTATCCATTAAGTCATTATTCACCTTCCCACTTGCCTCCTGTCTCTGGTAATTTCTATTTCCAGTTTCTGTGAGTTAGCCTATTCTATGTACCTTGAGAGAGTAGAATAATACAATATTTGTCTTTCTGAGCCTGTCTTATTTCACTAACTATAAAATTTTTTTGTTTTATTTGAGCCA